TCTATCAGATACTCCCTCGGTGGTTGTCGAGGGGGATTTGGTACACCCAAGAATTCCTCCAGGTGCGTCATTTGCGCTGTCAATTGTTTATTGGCTTGTGTAGTATTCTGGATGAGGGGCTGAAAGATTTCCCCCATAGTTTGAGGCATCATCTGAACCATTTGATGGTTACTTTCGTCCATCTGTTGTCTCAAATATAATGCAGAATTGGTCGTCAAACTTGGTATTATGGGCTGAATACCCAATAAGTAAATTCTGACTATTTCGACCTTCATTTTCCCTAGTGCCAGATCCCTGTAATGGTGAAGTCATTACGGATTCTGTATAAAACGGAGGGGCATTTTGTAAGTTTGCCATCAACGAAATTGGCATTCCGTAAGGCGGATCTCGCGGCAAAGTCATTGAAAATCCCGGGGGAGAAATGCCTCTATATGTCGAAGTCCCTATTGATGGTGGGGTCTATGAAGGACCCATTGGCCCAACGTAAGTCAAAATAGGTTGTGTATGAGAAATTGAATGTGTGGGCATCGAACTTCCCATAGATGGTATTGCCACAAAAACAGACGTTGAGACCGTTGGTCCCCCTATCGAATCTCCTATGGGTTATTCTATATTGTCATTCGAGACATCTTAAGGATTATTTGGCTGGTTTAGATTCGTCGCCATTCTCATCTTATATCTCCTTTTTGGTCTATCTTCGTTAACAGTGGCTACCTTACCACTTCTCAATAACATGCAACAAAGTTTTTTCTCAAAAGAAAACTTTTACCACAAAACTAATAAAGTTTTTTTTTTCAAAGAGAATTTTTAAAAACGAATTTTGTAATCACTTAGCACTACCCCACTAGGCGTGCCAATTTTTTCACCGTGAAAATTGGCGAACAACCGCTGGTCTAACAAATAAAAAAATATTTGATAGAGTCGTTTTGATAGAGTCGGTCATTGATTTTCCTTTTTTCATCTGTTGTACACTATTTTCTCTTTTTTATATTATAATTTATTATTTCTTTTAATTCTATACTTTTTTTATAAAATATTAAATAATATATATAAAAAAGGGCCTTATACTGATGCGCCATATGGTATGGCACCTCCTCTGTAGGCTAGGGTTTGATTTTTAGAGCTGACACCATATGATATAGCGACACAGTTCAAGCCCAATCTAATAAGCCATTTAATATGGCGCCTCAATGTGGAATTATAATCACTTTAAGAATTTTTTTGAATTCCCGGTTAAATTGATATTTTTATCGAAAAATATAGTTATTTTAAAAAAAAATCTAAAATTCAACATCTCAATGAATGTATGATCATTGAGATGTTGAATTTTAGATTTTTTTATTTTAAAATAACTATATTTTTCGATAAAAATACCAATTTAACCGGGAATTCAAAAAAATTCTTAAAGTGATTATAATTCCACATTGAGGCGCCATATTAAATGGCTTATTAGATTGAGCTTGAACTGTGTCGCTATCTCGTATGGCGCCAGCTCTAAAAATCAAACCCTAGCCTACAGAGGAGGTGCCATACCATATGGCGCATCAGTACAAGGCCCTTTTTTTATATATATTATTTAATATTTTATAAAAAAGTATAGAATTAAAAGAAATAATAAATTATAATATAAAAAAGAGAAAATAGTGTACAACAGATGAAAAAAGGAAAATCAATGACCGACTCTATCAAAACGACCGACAAAGTAATGGGACATCGTTGGTATATAAATTACATCGTCTGGCTCAATGTGTTCTATAAGGTTGCGGTAGACGATTATGGAGTTCTTGGGACATCTTTGGTAATTCATTCCCAAAATATACCGCCTAAAAAAAGAGACACAAATAAATTAGTTACTAAGAAACATTGCATAAATAATTAAGTTACAAAGAAACATCGTTTGTATACTCGTATTGAAAATAAACTTACTTGTTAGCATAGGGAAATGTGAATGGATGGCGGTTGATTGGAGCAAGTGTTGGCATTCTAGACCAAACCCACGCTTGAAGGAGATAGGCGCAACCATAAAAAGTACAAGATTTTTTTTTTTTTTGCATTTTTACATAATGAACTATATATATGGGCGAGGACAGCTGAACCCCAACTATATGTGCACACTTTATTAATATTGTGCAACCACGGTAAATACATAATATTTACACTATTTTCAGTACTTTCTGAACCCCAATGTAGGATCAACCACAAGATCATAGTTTCTATTGTAACAACGTTCCTTTAAATCAACAACAAATTTCATTCTATTCATAGTATAGCTAAGCGATTATAATTAACAACAACTTAAATTAAACAAACATAACTTAATATCAAAACAACAACCCAAAAATAACAACAACATAACCTAATATCAAAATAACAATCCGAAAATAATAACAACAAACCCATATAAAATAACATAATGCATCAACTTGTCTAGGATATCACAACAATTAAGGTAATCTTCTTTGGTGTTAACATCATCATAAGGACACCAACATCATTTTCCACTTTTCTCCAATCACGAGTAACTCCGTTTCTCCCTGATCCTCAACTAACCTCTCAATTTTCCTAATCTTTTCACCTACAACAATATCTCCTCCTAGTCAGCGGTTCAGTTCCCTATGCAAATGCTCCAAAGTCTGCGTGTTCCACAATAGCACTTTCATCGGAGGCTTTATTGCTGAAAAATAAACTAGGGCATTTCTTTTCATTAGAGGAAATGTTGGAAACGGTTCCTCCGATGATGATGACGACGATGAACGTTGATTTAGAAATGCAGACATTCTAGACTGATTTGAAAATTATGAAGAGTTGAGTCTATTGGTGAAAATTGTTGTGAAAAAAAAGATGAGTGTGCAGTCTTATTTATAGAAAAATGAAATAGTACAGGTCACATATGATATGTCGTAAATACCCTTACAAATTCATCCGATAATCCCTCTTGCGCACTATTAAAGGAGGTCATGTTAAAAGTCATACTTATAAATAATAAACTTTTAGATTTTTTATATAAAAGAATACTTGAAATTTAAGTTTTTTTAAGAGCTTTGATAATATTTTTTTAATTATGATTTTTTTAAAAATAATTAACATATTATTTAGATGTGTTGATTTTTTAAAATAATTAACAGAGTATTTAGATGTGTTGATTTTATTATCAATTAAAAAAAATTAAATAAAATTGATTAAATTAAAAAAAACCTAAAACAAAAATTCATTAATTTAAAATAAAAATATTTTTTTTATATTAAAATATTTAATTTAAATTTTTACCTTAGACCTCAAGATATGTTGGGCCGGTCCTAAAGCTCAAGTCGCAAGTGCTTGATAAGTTTGGAATGCATGCTGAAGTGAGGGGATGTAAGAGATCTATATTGAAAAAAAAAGTGTCGAAGAGAAAGTTAGACCTAGAAAAAGCCTGAAGTATTTATTTAGACATACAAAGATGAGCAAGAGAAGCAATTTCCACGGCATAAAGTGTAATCTTTAATTCTCAAATTGATCAAAATTTTAAGGTGAAAAATTCAAAGGTGTCTACAAAGCTGAATGTGGTTGGATTTATAGGAAGAAGTGTATTAAGTAAAATTGTTAAGGATTTATCTACTTTGAAGAGATGATACAAAATGAGTTTATAGAATATTAGTTCTCTCTCTTTAAAACATATCACGACATATTCTAAAATAATGAAAATAAACTATCAACCGCAAAGTCCCCGAGATAAAATAACTCGATCAGGTTGTATGGTCTCATATTGCATTGTAGATCACGTTCTATAATACACCCTCAAATAATAGTTGTTTGACCACCTAAAATAAATTCTCAAATGAGGAGAAATTTTTCGAAAGGCGGCTAGTTTTTCAAAGAGAAATAAAGAAATACTAGGAAAATTTCACGAGTAAGAAAGAGAAGAAGACAAGTACTCTGATAACTCAAGACCATAGAGAAAAAGAACGAAGAAGAAAAAACTATAAAAACGTTAATATCAATAGATTAGTGATTAAAGATCTTTTTTTATAGTGAAGTTTTTGGATGTGAAACATGAATGAACAATTCAAATCATTTGACCATTAACAAAATAGACGATAAGATAATCACAAGTGTGGGAGAAAATTCGTGAGCAAAAAATTAATCTACTGAGTGAGAGATTTTTAAAACAGGTGACACATCTCTTTGAAACCCTAGACTTAAATAAAATAGACAAAATAATATGTGAATTTGATTTTATTTTTTTTAAACTAAAAATTCTAGTGGCAAAAACATATGAATAATATCCATCGAAGGCAAACCTAAACCATGTGTGGTATTCTTTATGATATCACTCTTGCCATTTTCAAAACTTGTAAACTCATTTAAACACACTCCAAAAGAGAAAGCCTACCCTTAATAGTGGTTTCAGCAATGCATACACTACACCGTATGCACTGTTCACAAATACGGTGAACAGTACATAAACAATACGGAACAATGTCACACAGTGTATGAATAGTACCATGAACAGTGCTCGTGAACACTATTCGTGAATAGATTTTTAAGTTATGAAACAAAGTTGATTAATGAAGTATAAAAAATTGGTTAATGAAGTGATGAAATTGGTTAATAAACACACAAAATTAAAAATAATTTTTAACAGTAAATAAAATTGATTAATAATATATAAAATATTGATTAATGGAGTTATGAAATTAGTTAATCACACCTTTTTATATCAGTATCATTTAATTTAAAAATAAATTTTTTATTTTTTTATTTTTTTAAGAAAATATATTTAATTTTGTAATATTTCTATGTTCACCAATATTGGTAAGGAAATAGGGTTTAGATGTAAAGGATGACATAATAATATCATTTTGTAATGGTTTTCAACTCATGTACAACTTGATTCACTAATAAGTTTCAAATGAGCAGCACCCCATTCTCCTTTTCCAGATCACGCTCCAACAAATTGGTACAATAAAAAAGCAATTTCCCACAACTGTTTAAATCTCTGAACTCAAAAACGTTCTCCCATGTCGTTCTCAAGGTTAAGTTTATTTTCTCTCTCCAATTTTCCTATTTCATTTCACTTTCTCTCAAAATCCTTAACCCCTTTTTCCCACTCTCTGCATCATTTCACTCCCAACCATATCATTCATGACGACGTTTCATCATTCCATACCTTGCTTCACATGCATCCTACCCCATCCATCATTCAATTCAACAAAATTTTAGGGTTTCTTGCCAAGACTAAGAACCATTACACCACTGTTATTTCCCTTTCAAACCGACTAGAATTCGATGGAATTACTCCGGATATTGCTACTTTGACCATCTTGATCAATTGTTACTCCCATCTAGGTCAAATGAATTTTGCATTTTCTATGTTGGGAAAGATTCTGAAAATGGGTTATCAACCGACTACCATTACCTTGAATACACTTGTCAATGGTATGTGCCTTAACGGTAAGGTCAGTGAAGCTTTGCACTTTCATGATTATGTGGTTGCGCGTGGATTTCATTTTGATCAAGTTGGTTATGGGTCTTTGATTAATGGGTTGTGTAAAATGGGTGAAACAAGGGCTGCCATGCAAATGTTGAGAAAGATTGAAGGGAAATTGGTCAGGCTTAATGAGGTAATGTATAACACAATTATTGATGGTTTGTGTAAAGATAAATGTGTTAACGATGCCTATGACTTGTATTTTGAAATGATTGCAAAGAGAATTTCTCCTAATGTTGTAACTTTCAGTTCTCTAATCTATGGATTTTGTATTGTTGGTCAATTGAAACAAGCGTCTAGTCTTCTAAATGAAATGGTGTTGAAAAACATCTACCCGAATGTTTATACTTTTAATATATTGGTCGATGCTCTTTGTAAGGAAGGAAATGTGAAAGAAGCTAAGAATCTATTAGTTGTGATGATGAAAGAAGGTGTAATACCTAATATTGTTGCTTACAATTCATTAATGGATGGGTATTGTCTAGTTAAGGAAGTGAATAAGGCCGAACATGTGTTGAGAACTATTTCCCGAATGGGAGTGACACCTAATGCTTGCAGCTATAATATCATGATTAATGGATTTTGTAAGATGAAAATGGTCAATGAAGCCTTGAGTCTCTTTAATGAAATGTGTTGCAAAGGAATTGCTCCTGACACGGTGACTTACAGTTCTCTTATTGATGGTTTGTGCAAATCAGGGAGAATCTCACATGCTTGGAAGCTTGTTGATGAGATGCATCATAATGGTCAACCGGCTGATATAATCACTTACAATTCTTTAATAAACGCTTTATTCAAAAACCATCTTGTTGACAAGGCTATTGCATTAGTCAAAAAAATCAAAGACCATGGCATTGTACCAAATATGTCCACGTACAATATACTTATCGACGGACTATGCAAAGGGGGACTACTTAAAAATGCACATAATATTTTTAAGGATCTTTTGACTAAGGGTTATAGTCTAAATATCCAAACATATAATATTATGATCAATGGATTTTCTAAAGAGGGTTTGTTTGATGAATCAGAGGCCTTGTTGTCAACAATGGAGGACAATGGTATCATTCCTGATGCTGTAACATATCAAACTATCATCCGAGCTCTCTTTCATAAAGATAAGAATGAAAAGGCGGAGAAACTTCTCTGTGAAATGATTGCAAGAGGTCTACTATAAGAGTAATTCTAGGTTAGATAATTTCTCATTATATAATTGGTTATTTTCATGACAGCTATGTAATCTTTATGATTTATTTACTTTGTTGATAGTTACATACACTAAAGAAGGTGGACTACTCAATGGTCTCACTATCACTTCACTTTTAATCAAAGTCATGTGTTGATATGTTCATTTTGGCATTATAATTGTTTGTGGATCAAACTCTTTCATCAAATTTGTCTGCAAATATGTTTGCATTAAAGCAGAAAAACACTATCTATCTTGTACCTTTATGACAGAGTCGCTAAATTAAAGCTCTTAGCAACAAGCTCAACTTGGGATATTATGCCAATGCTAATTTATGGTTGATACGGTATATGATATCGATTAAGAAAATGTTATCCTTAGCACCTATAACCTCATGCTTGTTGCCTTTCAATGAATCAGTCATGCATTTATCGTTATTATTGTTGTGTTGGTTTATTGGTTATGCAGTTTTTTTCATATTAAAATTTGCAGTGAAGACTTTGCTACTTGTGAATTAGCAACCCTTCTATGTTGATTAGAGATAAAATGGTTTCTCTGTCTTTCTCTATTGACAGAGTCTAACAGTTTTGCCAAAAGATTAAGTAAGGTCTGACTTGTTCTAGTCAGGATTCAAAAGTTTATGCTCTTATAGTTATTAGTTAGTCATAAGTAGTTTAACTATATTACTCAGTTTTCCATAGGGATGGCGATATTAGCAGGATTCGTAAGTCTCCAAGTAACATCACATGATCCTGCGATGTTTGAAGCTCCTCTACGCGGCGACACACATGGGATCAGGTGTTGCAAGATATTACAATCTGTGCGGCGACACACATGGGATCAGGTGTTGCAAGATATTACAATCTGTGCTACAATCCTCGAGTTACAATTTTTCAACCCCCTCATGATCTTGTGTGGACTCTCGATTTTTACTACAATGTATGTATCTAAGCTCATTCCTTTTCTTTTAAAATTCTGAAATATGGTAAGAAATCATGTTCTGGAAAATATTATGTATGAATAAAAAATTGACATGGTTATATCAGCTTACTCTGATGTATTTGTAATACTTTGTTCTTTTCCTTTTCTCAATGCTACCATTGAACATGTATGTAACATTTCCCCTAACTGACCTTCACCTGCAATTTGAACATTTTAATTTATGGAAATTCACTTGTATGAGAAAATTTCCACCAACAATAGTACTGAACTTGAGTTTGATTCCTTTGATTCCTGCTAATTTGAATAATTCAGTCCAAAAATACTTAAAAAGAGTTTCTCACGGTCAGAAACAACGGTGGGAGAGGGAATCCGTGCAATCGTACAACTTCTTGAACAAATAGTTATCAATCAATTGACTGTGTGACGGTGTCAAAAAATTGATTGCAGTTGCACAACTTCTTGAACAAATAGTTATCAATCAATTGACTGTGTGACGGTGTCAAAAAATTGATTGCAGTTGCACAACTTCTTGAACAAATAGTTATCAATCAATTGACTGTGTGTGACGGTGTCAAAAAATTGATTGCAGTTTATCAATTTTTCGTCTTTCTCCTTCATCGAATTTGGCGATAACTTGATTTTAGGTCCAATTTAGAAAATATGGTTGTTCCTCCCAATTAATTCAATAACTCATCAATAATTGAAATATGAAACTTTTTAGAAATAATTTTCTTATTCAAAGCTCTATAATCAAACACAAAATCTACAATCCTATTTTCTTTAACAAGTTTGATAAGACTTAACAGAGTCAAACTATAAGTTCTAAGTACAAATAAATCATTACGAAATAAACATGATCACATTTAGGAATTTTATAATAAGGTAAAAAAAAGATATTGTTCTATATCTACAATTTAATCTGTCTCTTCTTTGAATATACAAGATCGACAAAATGTGAAGAAAAAAGTAACAGAATCAATCAACAAATCACACCAAGCAATCCAATGAATAAATAAAGTGACCTCAAATTATACAAAAGGCTTTATACTTGAAAAATTAAGCTTTTCTTCTTAGGAACCATTGTTGAATACTCACTTTACTCCTCCTTCAACCACACTTTTCTCTTTCTCTGTGGTTGGAAAAGACAATCTTCTAGCTTTGGTACTCCCTTTAGGAGGAGGAGTCCCTTTTGCATTGGAGGAAGGAGATGCTACCGATACCGGAGTTTTAGATGTTGATGTCTTTTTATCCTTTTGAACTTTGAACGACGGTTTATTTTGAGTTTTCTTCGGGCTAATGCTAACTACACGGCTTTCCCATGGACGCACGGCGATCCAGCGTTCTTTCCAGCTCCAACCCCAGTTAGCTCTGCCGAGCTCGTAACTGCCTAGCACTTGGCTTTGACTAGAGTTTGCTCTCCACTAAATATTTCATGAAATATGCATTTTATTTTCAGTTGGATTATGTGAAATGAGCTCTATAGTAGAGACCTCTAAAAGAAGGTGCGTTTGTATCTGTGTTGGACACCGACACGACACGACACTGACAATTGTTATTACGTTTAATTTATTCACTTAAAATTATTTCTGGTGTCGTGTCTGGTGTTTGCGTGCTTCATAGTAAATAAGACAAGATTGACTTACCTGATGAGAAAAGGCATAAGCCATGGCTCTTTCGCGCTTTACAGCTGCTTCTCCTCTCTGATGAATCCTACCAAGGGTTTCCTCTGCAGTTTCAGGGCCCCCGGACCATTCAACCTGTAATTTATTATAGGTAGAGCTGAAAACGAGATTAATGGAACTGTGCATTAAAAGGAACAAACTAACACATCTTGCAAAATTATTCAACCCGATGGTCCGACTGTAATTGAACTATGGTCGAGCTGATATATAGTTTTATAGAAAGATAAAGAGCGATCCTTATTGGAGGAAAGGACTTTTTTTTCTTGATAGAAACCGAGTATCCTCTGCGAGCAACCGCAAAGACTAATCCTTTGAGTCAGGGAGGAAAAGGACTATTAGCAATGTGGAAAGGACCAGGGAAACAAATATAAAGAAAATTAGTACGGGCTAAAGATTACCTCGAAATCATGGAGCTTTTCTTCGAGTTTTAGTTGAGACTCTTGTTTCTTCCTCCTGATCTTGTCTTCTGTCACCATACAGATTCGACGAGCTCTAATCTCACCCTGAATTTTGCTCCATGAATGAAGGTATGTCATAGTTGTACTGGCTTGCTTTTGAATAGAGTAGCCTTGTGTTAAATTCTTCAGTTTTGTGAAACCTTTCATTCGTCGTAGAGCTTTCCTAGCCTGGAGAAGATAACTAAAAGTCAGCATTGCGAAATAAAAAGCAGAAAAAGATAGTGAGACACAGATTCGTACCATCGTATATGAGCAATATAAACCTACACTTACATTTGTTGGCTATATTTATAAATCACATACCCCTTATAAAATGCAATTTGAAAGCTGGTATAGTAGCAACATAAGCACAATAGCACATAGACGTGTCAGTCCGTAAAAAAATTGCTTCAACAAACCTTATAAGCCCGGAATGCAGTCTGGATCCTTGTTGCAGCAACAGTTTCAACGGACGCGAGATTTTCATTTTGATTGCCATTTGCTAAATCAGTAGACTCGTTTCTGGGAGACTTGTTCGACTTCAATGTACTTGGCTTCTCCGGAGCTAACGTACCCTGTCCCAATGAGTGATCAAATACGCAAGATAGAAACATTCCGGTTACAATGAATGCATAACAGAGGTTTACAACTAACAGGATGAAATTAACTTAGTCTCACATCAGGCAATATAAGAATCTCATGTGAGATAATTTATGAAACAATATATAACTTGAACATGTTCTTATAAATAAAGACAATTCTCATATTACATACAGGTTTTTCGGTTTTAAAGGTATAAATTAGACTCAACCACATCAAATAATATGTCTAACAATATATAATTTGAACATGTACTTAAGTAAGGACAATCCTCACTCTACAAACCGGTTTTATTCACTCTACAAACCGGTTTTATATGGATGATTTAGATTCAACCGTATTTTTCAACATGGTATCAGAGCATAGCATCGTTTAAGATCTTTTAAACTACCTGCTATCATATTTTGGTTATGTGATTAACTACCATTTATTTCCACACTCTAATATCCCGCCGTCGGCTTCAAGAGGTATTAAAAGTCTCACATCATCCAATATATAGTCTAAATATCTAAATATGTGTTTATAAACGAGGATAATCTTCATCATAAAAATCAGTTTTATAGGAATGACTTAAACAAATTAAATTTCTCAACATGGTATTAGAGCTGAATATTAACAGAGTATTAGAGCTCATTATTGCTTTCTAAGATTAGAAAAATTAACTAAAAATGAAAAGAAGTGCATTGTAGGTACCTTTGGTTTCTTTGATCTTCTATCTTTTGACTTCCTATTCCTTAAGCTAATTATTGCTTTAAACCAAAAACCAGAACCCATTATTGAAGTGAAGCAAATCCTCTACTCAGAACACACAAACAATCAACATACTCAATTAGCAAAAACCATAAAACTTTCAACACCAACCTAAAATCAACAACCAAAAAGAAACAAAATTATATATTAGGTTTGACAAATAACAATTACATACCAAAGAAGGTCTTATTTCCTGAAGAGAAAAACCAAGAAATGAGAAGAAGAAAAAAAGGGAAGTTATGAAAAAGAAATGATATGAATGAAGAAGTAAAGAAGAAGAAAAGAAGAAAGAGTCAGCAAAAGAATAAAAGGTGGGTGAAGAATGTGGATTGCCATGGCCCATGGCCTACCACCACCTTTATTTCCTTCATTTATAATGTGGAAGGTTAGAAGAAAAACAAAAAAACAATTCAAGTATGAAATACTAAGGTTTACATGTGTTGTGTGTGATGAACACGACCGACAAATAGTACAAAAAGTGGGGCCATGTAGTGATGTGGCATTGTTGTTGGTTGGTTTTTTTGGAAATTCAACAAATGAGGCTATACAGCTTATAAACTATAATGACAGCAGAACAAACTCTGATAATGTTTTTATTATTGAGATATTGATAGATAGGTTCATTTCTTCTGTTTTTAGTTATGTCATGTTGATTATTTTTTAAAAAGAAAGTGAAAGTATGATTAGTTTGAAGAGTAATTTATACTCAATTATTTTTTAAGAGATATGGATTAAATTATTTTATTTGTTTCCTTTTATTTTAAGAATTAATTATTTTTAATTTAGTTACTTGTGGGTCCCAACAAAAATAAAATAGTGGATTTTTGGTTCTATTTCATAATTATTTTTTGTTGTTTTGTTTTGCATTGATAGTTCAATCAAATTTGACATTTTGACTTTAAAAAAAATAAATGTTAGACTTTTTATTTTATTTTTCATTATCTTTAAAAAAAACTTCTTTAGTAAATTTAAATTTCATTAATACTCAATGTTTTGCTTATTGTATTTAAATTGCTACACAAGTTTTCATCGATACAATTATTTTGATTTAATATAGAAGATTGTCTAATGGATCTTAGATATGTTCTCTTATCATTTTAACCTTAGAGTTTGAATTTAACTCATTCTTATTAAACTGACTTGTAAGATGATGATTGTCAATTGTTTTTCACCCACTTACTGAAGTCAAATTTGTGATTACTACAACAAATGTGTATGAGTCTATTTGGAAGAAAAAATGTTATGTATTAGAATGAAAATTAGTAATGATCGTGGAAGTAAGACCCTGAATATGATGATGATCTATGCCATGGTGACTTGGGATGGATCTGTAAGGTTTAAACTCCAACTTTTAAGTCAGTTTAGAGATCAAGATGAGTGTAGTATAAAAAATGGATCGAAAAGTGCACCTCGTATCTCACGTGTGTTGGCCATATACGTTGAATAATTTTGATTGGGGCATGCAAGGTTGGGCTTTCATATTTACTCACCCAGAGGTCATTCTCATCACCTACGAAGATCATCAGCTCCACATATTCCTATGGAAGGGTGGTGGTCCCATTGAGCTCCTAGAGGCCGAAACTATTGTACGACTATAAGTTGCTCCTATCGAGGTCCGTCTTTTCAAACAACTCCTCGTATATAATGTCGTAAGAGCTGCCACCATCGATGAGGATTCAGGAGGCATCAAACTGTCTCATTATGGCGGTGATTACCAAGGAAATGTTTTTGCTGCAGACACCTCCAAATTTCTCCGAGTTCTAGAACCTCAACACGAATCAATCAGGAACCTTTTTAGATGTACCAAAATCTTTTTAGTAGATATTCATCATCTCAGAGATCTTTCTCTTCATTGTCCCTTTGGAGGGGAGATTTTCTTGGGGCACGCCTTTAGTGTTAAATGAGATATATGGGCACTTTCCTTTACTAGCCTTTTCGCTTTCACTACTGACCCCAACATCTGCAGTCTTTGAAAGGGATTTATCTTTAGGTGACTCCACCCTATCTCTTTCCCCCCTTGACATATCTGGGTAACTAACCCTTCTTAATTAGCCATTGGATAACATCCTTCAACTGGATGCAATCGTCAGTGTTCTGGCCGTGACTCCTATGGAAGTGGCAGTACTTCGACTTATTAGTTCGAGATATTTCCCTAACAGGATAGCGAAGTCTGGCTCCTACCTTCCAAAATTTGTGTTGGTGTAGTCTTGTGAGATATTTTCCCGAGAGACCATTAAGGGGTGTACTTGTCATACCGTTCATGCATACCCCAGTTATATTCATCTCAACATAAGTGAGACTCCTTCACAGTGGCCGACGACTAGAGTAGGTTTCAACTGACGTGAGATTGTCGAAACTCGTACTCAACTTCTCCTCTAAGAGCCTGTATGATTCAACCATGGTAAGCATCTTCTAGATGATCTTCACTTTCTTCTTCCCTGTCTTCGACTTGAAGGGATGGTCCTTAAGAGGCCATTCTCGAATATCCAACACTGTAAGCCCTTTCCAACCCATTGACCTCAAAAATAACTTGTGAGATCCAATCTATGTAAGATTGCAAAGTTTCCTTCTTTCCTTGGACGATCCCACTCAAGGCGCTCTCAGTCACAAATCATATTTTTTGGGCTGTGAAGCATGTAGAGAACCTTTCACAAAAATTCGTCTATAATGTAATGCTAGTGTTTCATTTAAAGACCATAAATGAGTTGGGCTAAATACCATAACGCTTATGAGGATCAGGTGGTTGAACTGGCGAAGGACGTCAATGAGTCCCTCTAGTAAAATTCTAAAATGGTGTATGAAGCCTTTGACCAAGCGACTGACCAAATAAAGGTCTTTTTCTTGGACCTATGTATCCCCCACTTGCAATTTGTATGAGTGTAATATTCTCTTAGATAGGTTTTGCATGATGTCAAAACTAGGTAGTTTACCTCTTTGTGTATGTTGGACCTTATAGGCTTTGTCTAGAAGTGCATCATCATCATAGGACATGTAAAATTAGATTACATATGCCATCACATACCAAAAATATGAGATTTTTTTATTATAAAAAGTGATGCATGGGTCTATACATCTTTTGCATGTGTCGATATATACTGAGTTGTTTTTCAAAGAAATTGAATCTGCCTATAATGTATCAATACATAATACGAATGGGTCGATACATCTTGTGAATGAGTAGACTCATTCTTGGTTGGAGTCGACTCTATCTAAAAGGTGTTTTCAAGCATATGCCACTGCCTTCAATGTATCAATACATTGAAGAAATGGGTCGATACATTGAGCTAATGGGTCGACTCTCCCGTATTTATAGTCAACTCATCCTGAATTTATTTTTAATAAATTAGCTATTGCCTTCAATGTATTAACTCTATTTAATCTCGTATTGACTCATTCAGCTTATGTATTGACTCATTCCATTTTAGAGTCAATACATTTTGTACTAAATTTTAAAATGTACATTTTTGGATAAAACTTTGTTTTGCTCTATTCTTTTCTAAACACACATACATATAAATACACATTCATGCATCATTTCTAAGCATTGAAATCTGAAAGATACAAATAATTCTCATCATCTTAAACCTTTCTTTGACGCATTCATCAACTACACAAAATCATTTTTGTTATTTGTTATCAATATAAGATTTATAAGGTCCAACTTAGGCTTGTGTAATCAAATTGGGTTGAGGTTTTCTTTGGATTATTCAAGGATAAAACCTTTAGAGTTTTACCCCAAAATCAAGGGTTTATTTGGAGGTTTATGCACAAGTCTTGTCAACTTCATTTCAGCCGAGCGAAGGCTTTGAAGAACGGGTGTTCTTACAAAGGAGTAGTGGTAACCGGAGGATTAATTTAAAGGCTTGGGGAAAAATTTTGCAATTTGGATTCAGTCAAGTGAAAGCTTTGAAGAGCGGAAGGTTTGACCAAAGGAGTAGCGGTAATCGGAGGATCCTACTGGAGATTTTGTGTGACTTGATCTTGCTAACATTAAGTGTATAGAAGGAGCTATGATCAACATCAAACATAGGATTTTGGGTTTAAATTTCTACTACTTCTCTTGTAAACTGATATTGCAAAGGTTAATACAATATCTCAATTCAATTTCGAATTGAGGGCAGACGTGTCCATAGTGAGGACAATTGGAGTGTGAGTGCATTCTTCAACTTAGTCATGTTTTGAATGATGTCAAAACTAGGGAAATGACTTCACGTTTTTGTATATTGGACGATATCAACCTAAGTTTAGATGTTCCTAGTTAATTTTAGCCTTAGGATGCATACGAATATTTTTGAAAAGGATTGAAAAGCCTTAGACATGCCATATACATCAAAAACCAAGTTATATGTGTAAACACAGTCACATAGGCCGACCTATACGAGCTCAGACTAACCTATAGAAGCATTTGTTTCAGTGCATGGAGACACATACAATTACAGGTTGGCTCCCACACATCAATATTAAAGCATGTGGATTCTATCCATAGGTCGCCTCATTTAGGCCGACCTGAACACCTTGACAGGTCGGCCTATTTCTTTCATAAGCCGACCCGTAGCCTTCAAAAACTCAAATTTTGTTTTGCATCTTATTTTTTCTTACATCCTTTTTGCCTAATTCCACACACACACACGATATATATATATATATATATATATATATATATATATATATATATATATATATATATATATATATATATATATATACACACCTTTTTCTAGCAAGGTACTACTAGTGACTTACCTAAATGAAACCAGATTACAAAGCATTCCCATTATCTTCAACATTTCTTCTATGTGTAAACACAATTGAACTACACATAATCATTTTTTGATTGGATGTCCATCTAGATTAGGGTTGATAACATCCAATTAGATTGGTGTAACTGAGAATATTAGATTGAGATCTTTGCGTGTTTCAAATAAGAAAATCAAGACGAGATTTTCTTTCAAGATCATTTTTAAACTACAATGACAACATAACAAACTCTGATAATGTTTTTATTATTGTGATATTGATAGATA